TCGAGCAAATCGATGAACAACGGGAGGACAGTGCAATGCTACCGTCCGCCTCAAACTTGGTCCCAGGTGTTTGATGCTTCTGAAGGCCACTGTGAACAGGATTGCTTCTTATTCTCTTTTTCTCACTCTGACTTGCGTGGAGGGCCACTGCAGGGTGTGGACGTTGGTGTTTGTGGCCAGTCACCTTGCTGTCCTTAGAGTGTCTAACGGCCTTTTAATGCAATGCTTTGGGGCTTCTCTCTCTATATTTTGGTCTCACGTGCAAATAATACTTTCGCTTCTTTTTTTTTTTCTGATCTGGATTCTTCTGTTTCTCGTTCTTGTTCATGTCTAATTGCTCTGACTAAGATCTCAATACTAAGTTAAATAGAAGTGGTGAGAGTGGACAGCTTCTTCTAGTTCCTGATTTTTAAGAAAGGGCTTTCAGTTTGCCACCCTTGACTGCCATGTCCCATACCACGTGGTCCTCTGAGCCCACCAGGTGGAGCCCTGAAATCCCCTGGGTATGACCTGGGTATTGCACCGTCCAGTCGGGTTCACTGAGCATTGGTTGGACTGCTCTGACCACTGCTTGGAAGTCCCCCACAAGCACACACACACAAAAGTATTTGTTGATATAATTAATATGATTTTCTTCTTTCCTTTTATTGATAAGGGTAATCCGTTGGTTGATTTGACCCGGGTTATACCCCATTGGTCACCACGTACCAAACTTTGGATGCGTATCAATTTGTTAAGAACTTTTTTTTTTTGATTAAGGTTCTGTGCTTTACAAGATTGTTAATGATGGTTCCCCTTGTACAAATGCCCAACACCACATCTTCACCATGTACCAGACCCCAGTATCCTTCCCTTCCGCCCCTCCAGCCCCTACCAACTCAGTCACGTGGTTCACTTCTTTTGTGTTGCTTCTGGCCCATTGCTGCTCCCTTGCTGTGTATCATTAAGTCCCACACGAGAGAGACCCTTTCCTTCCTAATGATGCGGGCGAGGCAGAAACGGCAGTGGTGGGTCTCAGTGTTCATTCGCTATTCCCAGGTTCTATTTTCAGGAGTGAAAATATTGAATAATAAACATCCTCAGACTTAGGGTTGGAAGGTAGAAAAGTTTATTGGAAAGCAGAAGAGAAAAGAAAAAGAGGAACTTAGTATAGGATTACGTTAACTATGGCTCTTTTTGTGAGTTTTTTTTTTTAAATAGGAAAACTGGGTCTTTGTATACCAACTAATAGAATGCAGGGAATCTACTGGGTGATTGGGCTGGTTTGTCTTTCTGGTCACCTGCCTTGGATATTGTTCATTATCTTAGTCTTGTGACTCCTAGTTCTGGGACAGAAGAATGAGGTCCTGGGGAACTCCAGGAATGTTAAAGATAGGTACTTGGGGATGAGGTGTGATCGGTCGATGGGGAGAAATGGAACTGCTGGCGAGGGAAAACTGTGGGCTCCCCTCTTGTTGGCAAGGGGAAACTGAAGCTTCCTCTTTCACTGATGACTCCACTCAGCCTGTTATCCTCCAGTTCCATCAGTGGTGCTGCAAATCACATGATTTCGTTCTTTATTAGACCTGTGTAGTATTCCATTGTGTGTATATATGTGGACGCATGCTGATGCTGATTTGTTAATATTTTGTTGAGACCTTTTACATCTATATTCACAAAGATATTGGTCTGTAATTTTCTCTCTCTTTTTTTGCTTTTCAGGTCTCACCTGGCGATGCACAGGGGTTACTCCTGGCTCTGCACTCAGGAATTACTCCTGGCGGTGCTCAGGGGACCATATGGGATGCTGGGAATCGAACCCGGGTTGGCCGCATGAAAGGCAAACACCCTAATCCGCTGTGCTATCGCTCCAGCCCCTGTTGGAAGTTTTTTAAATTATGATTCCAATTTTTATATTTGTTTTTGGTTGATTCAGGTTTTCTATTTCTTCTTATTTTGATCTTGGTAGGTTATATTTTCTAAAAATGTATTTATTTTCCCTAGATTTGGGATTAGTTGGTATTTAGCTGTTCTTAGTAACCGCTTCTAATGCTTTATTTTTCTATGGTATCTGTTGCAATTATTTCTTTCATTCCTGATTTTATTAGAATTTTCTCTTCTTTTTTTTTAAACTGGCTAAAAGATTTTGGGTTTTATTAATCACTTAAGCATTTAGATTTTAGTTTCACTTCTGTATTTTTTCTTCTAGCAGTTATTTATTTCTGCTCTGACTTTTATGATTTCCTTCCACTAAGCTTTGCTTTGTTTATTGTTCTTATGTTCTTTTTCAAGTTGTTGTAGCTGTAAGATTAAATTTCTTACTTGAATCTTTTCCAGTTTCCCTATGGAAGGCCTGTTAGCAACATCCCTCTTACTGCAGCTTTGTTACATCTCATAGATTATGGTACTTATATTTTTTTATCTTACTTCCAGATATGTTGGTGTGGGGATTGGGGTTACTCCCAGCTGTGGTTGAGGGTACTCTCAGTGAATCTCAGGAGACTGTGGGGATTGTACCAGGGTTGGCCACATTGCAAGGCAAGAACTTTAACCCCATGCTATCTCTTATTTCTCTGGTCCCAGACATTTCTTTCTAAGCGCCAACCCTGTGGATGGCTCTGACCTGCCCACCTGAAGCCCCTAAATATTTTAAAATTTTTGCTTCAGTTTGCTCCTTGACTCAGTAACTTGTTACCGGTAGTTATTTATTCATTTATTTATTTGCTATTTGGGCCATACCCAACAGTGCTCAGGCTTACTCCTCGTTCTGTGCTAGAGACCACTCTTTGTCAGGGCTTGGGGAACCATATGCGGTAGATGAAATAAAAAAAGAAATCGTGCTGTTATTACTGAGAAAACCGGATGCAGGCACACTAGGTGGTGATAGTCATGCGGTCTGAAACACAATGATCTTTTCCCCCTTTTCACTTGGACGAGGAATAAATCAAGACAGCAAAAGGAAAATGTGGCCCAAGATTGCTTACTGGGTCACGGGTCATCAATGGAGGGTTAGTTTTTGAGGGATTCTGTGTCATGCCAGGAAGGGGGAGCCACAGATAGCCTGGCACCTCCATTTACTTAGGCCCAGAGCGGTGAGGGGCTGCCTTGTCTTCCATCCCCTGCTGGGAGAGCAGAGTCTGCCCGGGATCAGGATACCACCCTCTGCCCACCCAGTGCCCCTTCTCCTGCCACTGACCCCTTCCTCAATTTACCCCCAGAGCCCTCCACCCCTGGCTGCGGAGCCTGCTCTAGAAAAAGCACCTCTATTTGATTCACAAGACTTTTCCATTTTATTAGTAAAATACAAAATGGCACAGACAGCGGTGATAGATAGGGTTGGAAAAGCAAAAGGATGAATCAATTCCTTCCAAAGTGCTCCCAGATCGCCCTCGCCTGTGTTCTGCCTGGGGAATCTGAGCCCTCCACGTGGTGGACTCAGTTCTACCTCAGAAGGAGCCCCGTGGGGGTCGGGGGCCCTACCTCGGGAAGGCTCTCCTAGGCAGAGAGAGCACCCCCCATAATCTCAGACCTGTTCTTCCCGCTCCCCACGGGAGCCATGGAGGACGCCCTCTGGAGCCAGACCCAGACATCCCAAACTGTGTCCAGCAGGAGGTGCCCGGCAGGGGAGGGCTGGCCCCCACTTCCTCCGGTCATCCTTCTGCGGAGACCCCTGGGGCGGAGGGCAAAGGTCAGCTCCCACAGGCCGGGGGGGCATGAGAGCGGCCACGGGGCACCTTCCCAGTCAGGTCAGGGAGTCATCATCCGTCGGCACAAAGGAGAACCTTTGTGGATGCCCACAACTTCCCATCTGTGGGGGGCAACAGGCCCCTCAGGAGCCATCAGGAACCTCGGTGTCAGCAGTGGGTTCCAGCTCCTGGTCGGGGCCCAGAAGCCCCTGGCATGGCTGCAGCGGGGACGGGGGTGACACTCTGGGACCCCGAGAACAGCATTTTCAGGGAGTGGGGAGGGAACCCCAGGCCACAGGGATGGTAGAGCCAAGGCAGGCGTTGGGGTGCCTGGGACACGGTGGAGTGTGGCTGCTGTCTGTGGGGCCTGCGGCTGGGCACGGTAGGACGCGCGTCCCTGGCTGCCGGAGGACACGCGTAGGGTTTGTTTAAAGCCTGGGAGGGGCCTCTGAGTTGGTCTCTGTCCCTCAAGTCCCCAGCGCTGCCCCCCTCTGCGCTACCACCTGGGGGGAGGCCTTCATAGCAGGGCAGGAACCTGTGCCCCCAAACCACTTCCTCACATGCCCTTCCGGGACACTTGGTGGTCACTGTGGCCGGGCTGAGGAAGGGCAGCACCAAGGGTGCCCTCCTCGGGTGGGGGAGGGGGAGGGTCTGCCCTGCTGTGGGGGCGGGGGGCCTGGCAGTGTCCCTCCTGCCTGCCCATCCGCTCAGACTGGTGGGGCTCAGACTGGGCGCGGCCCCCAGCTTCCCCCTGAGAGGGAAGGCACACACCGAGGGCGTCGGAGGCAGCACCCTGCACCCCGCCACTGGGGTAGGAGCTGGGCCAGAAGTGGGCCCAAGAAACATCACACTAGCCTCATGCAAGAAAAGGGGGGTCCGGCTGGGGAGCGGGCTCTGTACAGGGTGGGGCCGGGGGTGGGGGTGGATAGCACCGCAGGGTGGGAGTGGGGTGAACCAAGAAACACAATGAAGAGGTACAGGGGCCCGAGACCCCCCGCCAGGGGTGGGGGGCGGGAGGGGGGGTATGGTGCCCGCCTAGGGGTTTGGTCTGGGGGGGGTGGATGAGGCATTCAATAAATAAGTGGGGGCGGGGTCTAGGGGACCCTCTGACCAGCCAGCAGCAGAGGAGGGTTTCCGACTTGGGGCCAGGAAGCCGCAGAGGTGGTTCTGTCCTAGGAGGTCAACGGGGGTCCCCTGGAGCTGGGAGCAGCCCCCCCTGCCTGGGGGAGACAGCCTCCGGGCCCCCACCATCCCTGCCCCAGGGCAGGCCCTGGGGGGGGGGGAAGAGTGGGCTGAGGCTGGGGGCCCCCAGGCAGCGTCTGAGGGCCAGGGCTGGCCGTGGGGCCTCACACGGGCACCAGCACATAGGAGTTGCTCCCGCAGCTCCGGGGCACGTAGCGGAGCCCCTCGACCACGTCCCCGGCCACCTTGCGGGGGCAGCCCTGCAGGCTCTGGTAGGCGAACATGGCCACGCCCACGCAGAAGAGCAGCCCCAGGAAGGCCAGCAGCCCCACGGCCTGCCTGCGGGTGGCCACCTGGGAGTCAGGGACGGGCGTCATGAGCACGCCCAGCCGCTGGGGGTCCACCGTGGCGTGGACAGGCTCCTCAACCTTGGGGGCCCAGCTGCCCGAGGCCACGGGCTCCCGACTGGGGTCCCACTCGGAGGAGATGGGGACTGCCGAGACGTGGGGTATGCCACCAGGCCCCAGGAATGCGTCAGGGTGAGCCGAGACGGGACCCGCCTCCGGGGGCCCTAGGGAACCTTCCGGCAAGGGGTCCTGGGCCCCCGCTGTCTGGCCGGTTGGCCCCAGGATGTCCTCTGGGGCTGTGTGGGCGGTCGTGGGCAGCTGGGGAGGGGGGCTCTGGGTCGGGGTGGCTTGGGGAGCGGGGGTCTGGGTGGGGAGGTCCTGGGGAGTGGGGGTCTGGGTGGGGGTGGCCTGGGGAGTGGGGGTCTGGGTGGGGAGGGCTGGGGTGGGGGTGGTCGGGGTGGCGGGGGCCTGGGAGGGGGGGGCCGGGGTGGCGGGGGGCCGGGGTGGGGGGGGCCTGGCTGGTGGGAGCCTGGGAGAGGGGGTCTGCCGAGGCTTTGCCCTCGGCCCAGACCTCAGGTCCTGGCTGGGAGGCGGCAGAGCTGTGCCAGGCGGCCGCTGTGGTGGTGAGGGCGGCGGCGCCGGGGAGCTGGGTTCTAGCAGGCCCAGTAACTGCGCCTCCATCTGGACCCTGGGCCGCAGAGGGGGGCCTGGTCTCCCAGGGAGCAGCTGCTCTTGTCGGCAGTGGTGGGGAGGTGCCCACGTGTCCCTCTTGACCACGGTCATCCCCTGGGCCTTTGGGCTCTGCGGCTGCCGACCCGTGCGTGGCCCTGGCGGCCAGGGTGGTCCCCGGCTGCCCGATGCCAATCTGCTTCTCGAACGTGCCGCCATTGGGCGTGCGGGCGGCGGCCTGGCGGTCTAGGCGCTCCATGGCTCTCTGGACCCATCTCTCGGTGGGGTCAGCGCACAGGAGCTTGTGCTTCTTGGTCTCCAGGCTACAAGGAAGGAGACAGGGGCCCGGTGATGCCCAGAGGCATGGCCGAGAGTCCCCTGAGATCTCCTCGGCAGCCTCACCCACGAGGTCACGCACAGCTGGGGTTGGGGGGGGGGTTGGAGGGGCTCCCCAGATGTGGGGCGTTTTGTGACTGGAATACTCAGCCAAGTTGCCCACCTGCTTCTCGGTTAGTGAAGGACGCGGGGGCTGTGAGCAGACCAAGGGCGCAGTTCAAGTGTGAGTCGAACAGGCAAGGTCCTGAGTTTGACCCCTGGCATCACATGGCCCCAGGCAACCCGCTGGATCAGTATATAGGGAATTCCCACGCCCCGTGTCTACTGGGCTGTCCCCACCCACGGTAAAAAGTGAAGACAATGATGAAGGCACCTGTCCAGAGCAGGTGATGAGTCACTGTTGAAAAGAACAAGGTTGATAATGGGAATGTAGCTGCCATGAAGGATGGGGGTTCTGGGTGGGGGTTCCGGGTGAAGGTTCCAGGTGAGGGTTCTGGGTGGGGATTCTGTGTGAGGGCTCTGGATTGGGGTTTTGTGGAGGTTCTGGGTGAGGGTTCTACGGGGGTTCTGGGTGGGGGTTTTGGGTGAGGGTTCTGGGTGGGGGTTCTGTGGAGGTTCCGGGTGAGGATTCTGGGTAGGGATTTCGGGTAAGGGTTCTGGGTGGGAGTTCTGGGTGGGGGTTCCGGTTGAGGGTTCTGGGTAGGGGTTCTGGGTGAGGGTTCTGGGTGGGGGTTCTGGGTGGGGGTTCTGGGTGAGGGTTCTGGGTGGGGGTTCTGGGTGGAGGTTCCAGATGAGGGTTCTGGGCGGGGGTTCTGGGTAGGGGTTCCGGATGAGGATTCCGGGTGAGGATTCTGGGTGGGGGTTCCGGATGAGGGTTCTGGGCGGGGGTTCTGGGTAGGGGTTCCGGATGAGGGTTCTGGGTGAGGGTTCTGGGTGGGGGTTCCGGATGAGGGTTCTGGGTGAGGGTTCTGGGTGGGGATTCCAGGTGAGGGTTCTGGGTGGGGGTTCTGGATGAGAGTTCTGGGTGGGGATTCTGGATGAGGGTTCTGGGTGGGGGGTTCTGTGGAGGTTCTGGGTGAGGGTTCTGGGTAGGAGTTCCGGGTGAGGATTCTGGGTGAGGGTTCCAGATGGGGGTTCTGTGGGGGTTTGGGGTGGGGATTCTGTGTGAGCATTCTGGGTAGAGGTTCTGTGGGGGTTCTTGGTGAGTGTTCCGAGTGGGGGTTCTATGTGAGGGCTCTGGGTAGGGGTTCTGGGGGAGTTCTGGGTGGGGATTCTATGTGAGCATTCTGGGTAGGGGTTCTGTGGGGGTTGGGGTGTGACTATGTGACTTTACAGGTGTCTCTGGCAGCAGGTGTCGGACTGTGAGCTCTGTGGTAGCCTCCGTGTCAGGAAAGAACCCACATCAAGGTGTCTTCTTCCTCCTCTCCTGCTATAGACACCCCGTTCTCTGTGAGTGTACCATCAGCTGCCTGGAGCTACATCCTATATACAATGGACCCAGGGGACCCCAGTGTCATCAGAATCTGTGTGTGTGTGTGTATGTGTGTGTGTGTGTGTGTGTGTGTGTGTGTGTGTGTGTGATTTTGGGCTGTGCTCAGGAATCACTCTGGGTGGGACTCGGGATAGAACCCGGGGGGTGCGGGGTATAGAACCCAGGTTGGCGGGTGCAAGGCAAGCGCCCTCCCTTCTGTCCTCTCTCCCTCTCAACCCCTCCTTGGAATCTTGAGCTTCCTCTGAAGCCGTGTGTGACTGTTCTCAGCCGAGACCCCAGCTCCAGGCTGACCCATTCATCCCCATTTCACAGATGAGAAAACCGAGGCTCAGAGAGGTCACGTCGGTGTGGCTGGCAGCGGTGGGTAGGGGCAGCAGAGCAGAGTAGAGCAGGATGCAACCCTGAGCCTCCTGCTGGTCCTCCCCCCACCCCCGCCCTGGGGACTTCTGTTTCTGCTGCCCCTAGAAATCAGAGGCCGAAGTGTAGGGCACGGGGCCTGGCTGGGTGAGTGGGGACGGGGGATGAGGTAGGGAGGGGGTGGACAGCGGCACTCTTGCCCCCTTAGTAATGGCCAGCCCACTTCCTCTGGCCAAGCCTGGGCTTTTCAAAGCCCGTGGCCCCCTTCCTGTGGGCCCTGTCTGGCTCAGGCCAAGGAGGGCCCGAGGGTCAGTCTGAGGACTCAAGGGCGAGGTGCAAGGGCCCAGGGCAGCCAAGAAGGCCAGAGGGCCGGGTTTGGCCGGGAAAGCGGCTCGGCCCGGCTCTCCCCAGCACCAGAGGAACCCCATTTCCTCGTCTGCCAGGCGCAGATAGCCATCTCCCCCGCCCATTGTCCCTGCTTCCCAGACCCCTGCCAGACCCCCGTGACTTCACCTTTCACCCTCCCTCAGCCCCCCTGTAGGAAACTTGGGCACCAGCTTCAGCCTCATGGCCGTGCTGACCCCAACTCCGGCGGGCAAGCCTGAGGGGGGTCAGGAGTCTGCCTGGGCAGGGGTGGGTGAGTGGGGACACACCCGTCCTTTCCTCCCTCGGGATGAGACTTAGCGGATTGGGGCACTGAGTGTGCCAGGAGAAATTCTCTCCTTGGGGGCTGCCGTGAGCCACGGAATATTCAGGAAGCCGCTCCCCACCTTGACCACGTAGCCAGGGGGGTCAGGAGGAGGAGGAGGAGGACTAGGAGGAGGAGGAAGAGGAGGCGCTGGGTCAGGAGTGGGGCAGGGTGGGTCGTCGGGGCAGGCGGGCGGTACCTACATGATGGCACGCTTGCCGCAGGATTCTTGGCTTCGCCGATAATTGATCAGCAGCTCCGAGGGGATCTCCGAGGTCATCCTGTTGCATATGATGCTGCATTTCTTCACACCGAGGTGTTGTCCTGAGCCACAGAGGCCGCGGGTCAGCGGAGTCAGCAGAGGGCTCCCAGGGGCACTGGCTTCCCAGCCCAGGGCCAGCCGGTCACGGCCACTCCACCCAGTCACTGTGGACGTCCTGCACGCCCCTGGTCTTCCCTGCCCTGGACCACAGCACTCCCCCTTCCCTGGCCAGACCTCGCTCTGTGCCTCGGTTTCCCCACTGGAAGATAGGGAGAGCGAGAGTGTCTACTCCTTTGGGTTGTGGGCAGGTTGAATGCCCGTGTGTCCTTCCTTGGCCAGCTCCTTTGGCCTGGCCTGTTGTCTTGTCATTGGTCAATGGCGTTTGACAGTGTCTGGGCCCATTTCTTCTGCCTTTATCCAACTGAGTATTGAACCCCGCACCTGGCCCTCACACCCTCTCGGCTGGGCTGGGTTCTTCCTGAGCCCTCTCAGACACCTGCACCTCACACCCAGTCCTCCATGAACACACGGCGTGTGCCCCCCACCCCCGCGTCTGGACACAGCTCAGCAGCCTGCAGGCACTGGTGGCAGGTAAAGCTGTGTGCGGGCCTTGAGGAGCGTGGGGGGTTGGGGTCGGTGCTGGGGGAACATTTGGAGCAGGCTGAATTGGGGGAGCGGGAGCAGGGAGGGTCGATGGAGACAGATGGGGTTGGCGGCGGGGTGAGGGTGTGCTGGAGGGGGCGGGTAGAAGCCTGCTGGGGGCTGGAGCCAGAGAGAAACCCGGTGAGGAGGAGGAGGGGGAGGAGGAGGAGGAGGAGGAGGAGGAGGGGGAGGAGGAGGGGGAGGAGGAGGAGGAGGAGGAGGAGGAGGAGGAGGAGGAGGAGAAGGAGGAGGGGGAGGAGGAGGAGGAGGTGGTGATGGAAAAGGAGGAGGATGAAGTGGAGGAGGAGGAGGAGAAGGAGGAGGAGGAGGAGGAAGAGGAGGGGGAGGAGGAGGAGGAAGACGAGGAGGAGGAGGAGGAAGTCGAGGAGGAGGAGGAGGTGATGGAGGAGTCAGCCTTTGAGAACCCAAATATTTGAGGCAACATTTGAAGGCGTTTGTATTGCCCTAGGGCGAGCAGAGTGGGGCTGTGGGAAATGAAGGAGCACCCATGTTTCAGATCCGGGTCAGGTCATCGGCAGGAATGGCCAGACCCTGACCCCCCCCCGCCCCCCCCCTTACAGACCCGGTTTCCTGGGCAGCGCGGTGTGGGGAGCGCCCACCCTCTCAGGAGCCTCAGCTGAGCGTGGGAGCCTCTCCCCTCCCCCAAACACACATTGACGCTGTGTAGAGCCTGCTGGGCTGGACTGGGTATCAGGGGCAGCACCAGGGGCGACCCCCACACCGCACCCCTGCCCCCCTCCCCCCCCCCCCCGTGCTGATCCCTGAGTCACGGCCACTCTTCCTCCCCGAGGAAACAGGATGTGGACGTCCACGTGCTGCCTCTCGTCCTCCCAGACAGGGACTGGAAATGATCCCACTGTGGCCCCGCAGAGCCAAAGGCACCCCGGGGTGGCCTTCCGGGGGCTGCTCCAGACAAGGGTGTCCCCGAGTGACCTGGGGCTGGGACAGGGCAGGGGTGATGGGTAGTGGGGAAGCAAAGGGAGCTGAGGACGCGCAGAGAAAGAGGGGAGGGGAGGGGAGGGGAGTCGGCTCTTTGCACTTCCCAGGCTTGGGGGGTGGGGTGGGGGTCGCTTCATGGAGCCACCTTGCCTCTACGAGACCCTGGCTGGGCTGTTCTTGGTTCTGCCAGCAAAAGGTTCTTTATTTTTGCTATTGTTTGGTTTGGGGGTCACACCTGGTGGTGCTCAGGGCTTCCTCCTCGGTCTGTGCTCAGGGAGCACTCAAGGGGACCATAAGAGATGCCGGAGATCGAACCTGGCTCGGCCATGTGGAAGGCCAGCTCTCTGCCCACTGTGCTATCTCTCTGGCCCCCTCTGCCAGCAAAGTGTATGTAACTGATCTAGGGAGTCTTCTTGGAAGAGCCCGCGTTTCCTTTTCCATGGTTGGAGAGACTGTCTCTCTGTCCAGTCAGACATCTATTATTATCTGTCCCAGGAGTGCCGGGAGGGCAGGGACTGTCTGTCTTGGTGACAGCGTTTCCCAGCACCCAGCAGAAGCCGGGCTCTCAGTAATATTCACTGAATGGAACGATGTCTCAATCTGCTCATCCCTCCGCCCACCTCCCCATCCATCCATTTATCTGCTCCCTTTTGTCAATTCCCCACTCATTCTCCGCCCGCCCACCTGTCTGCCTCCCACCCATGGCAACTCACCCCCAGGCATCCATCTACTCATCGCTCACCCACCTACCATCTGTCTGTCTTCTCCCCCTCCTCAATCCCACTCCCTTTCATCAACCTACCACTGCACTCATCCATCCACTGAACCATCTGTCCATCCATCCATCCATCCATCCATCCATCCATCCATCCTTCCACCCAACCACTCACCCATTTTTCTACTCACCCATCCTTCTACTATCCATTCATCCATCTGCCCACTCAACCCCCTCATCCATCTCTCCATCCTTTTTCTGATTTAACCAACACTTGTTTGAATTACTTTTGAAAATCCACACAAGCCTGGGCCCTCTTGTCCTTAACTGGATCACTCTCTCCTGCAGGCATTGGAGCTGAAGTTCAGTCTCCACAGATGCTATCAGACCGCTATGTTCACTCAGCAACCAACAGACGTGAGATTCCCCAGGCCCAGGACTGGGCTCTGTGGGGCGCTGTGGCATGACTGAGATCAGCCATGCCCTTCCCAAGCTCCCAGCTGGATGAGACGGACAGGTGAGACACGCGCTAGAAGAATCAAACCTTTTGTTTTGGGGCCACATCTGCCAGTGCTCAGGGCTTGCTCCTGGCTCACTGCTCAGGATGATCCCCGGTGAGCTTGGGGGATTGTATGGGATACCAGGGATCGAACCCGGGTCAGCCACATGCAAGGCAAGTGCTCTACCTGCTATACTATCCCTCCAGCCCTGATTAGACCTTTTTAATTTTTCTTTTTGGGTCACACCCAGCGATGCTCAGGGGATACTCCTGGCTCTGCACTCAGGAATTACTCCTGGCGGTGCTCGGGGGACCCTATGGGATGCCGGAGATCGAACCCGGGTCAGTCGCTTGCAAGGCAAACGCACTACCCACTGTACTATCACTCGGCTCCCAGACCTTTTCTTAATTGAACACCTACTGTGTACTGGACCTATGCTCAGAACCTGCTTTCATTCATTCCCCAAGTCCCTGCCAAGGGAATATTATCATTATTATTATTTTACAGATGCAAAAGCTGGGAACTAGAGGGATTCAGAGACGTTCCCAGCCCCATATCGTTGGTCAGGGGCAACACTGATCGGTATCCCATACTCTAGGCTGCCATACGTGCCAGATAGAAACACTGTTCCAGAACTCTGGGTCTGCATGTGGGAGAGGCCACTTTCAACTGCGCGTGATCAGGGAAGTCTTCTAGGAGGAGGTGGCTTTTGGTTAAACCACCAGGTCAGCCAAGCAGTTTATAGGTTGATGGGAATGTCCTGGGTCTTGCGCTAGGTGGGGGCCTGAGCCACAGCTCAGCGCAGGGAGACACTCTGTGTGCCTTTACCTGTCAAATGGATATGGTCAGACCCACTTTGCAGGGGGACTGCAAGAATGAAGATTATTTCAAAGCCGGACCATCCGAGCCAGTGTCCTCTACAGCAACATACAGACACTTAAGACCACGTCAGTCTTTGCTGGGGGCAGACCTGTATGTGCTGGGGTGTTTAACAGAGGCCCTGGCCTCCATCCAACTGCCCATTCTTCCAAGCAACTGTATCAGGTGTCTGTTTGCGCACCCGTCAATCAAAAATGTGGGGATATTTTTAACGACCAAAAAAAAAAAGGTCTTCAGAAATCACCCAGTGACCCTTGGAGACCCAAATACCCACTGTGTTGGACCCCTGCCAATGGGCACCCCCTCACGTCCCCGATGGCCCCCTACCCAAGAGGCCTCCCCAGACCTACATACAAATCCCTCCCCCACCTTGCCCCTTCTCTCTCTCTCTCTCTCTCTCTCTCTAATTTTTATTATTTTTATCACAGCACCTTTTATCCCTCCCTTCTAACAGACCGAATCGTGTGCTGACTTATTCCGCATGGCGTCTGCCTTCATGGTCACTATCAGCTCCGCAGTGGCCGGGCCAGGTGCCCCCTTCATTCACCACCAAGGGCTCCTAGCACCGAGCAGGCGCCTGGGACGGATTTGTTGAATGGATGAGCCACAGGCACAAGGAACCCTTTGTGGCGTGGACCATCTCGACCCAGGGGGGAATAAAGACACTTTCATTGACATTTAGCAGTGACGGGGAGCTGGTGCTCTGGGTTTCTCCTCCCGGCCTCGGCCCCCTGTTCCCCTTCACCTCCCCCCCCCCCGCCCCCCTGCACTGATCAGGGCCCCCGACAGCCCTTTCAGACAGGTTTCTTTTTTTTCCCCCTTTCTTGTCGGGGCTTGAGTGGGAGGGAATGCGTCAGAGCGCGGGAGAAGGCGCCTCGGCTCTGACTTGATCTGCAGGTTTGTTATATAAAGCTGCAGCGCTCCCACCCCCCAGCCCCGCAACCCCCAGTCGGGAACGGGCAAAGCGGTCGGTCACTGTGCCAGGCAGCCCCCAGGCCTCCCCCTGCACCCCTGCACACAACCCCCCGCCCCCGCTCTGCTCGGATCTCTCTGGGTTCCCGCCCTCCCCCAGACACCCCCAGTCCTGCAAGGGCTCCCAGGGGCTGGTGTGGGCAGAGGGAGGGGGAGGGCCCTGGCTAATTGCCCGCGTTTACGGGAAGGGAAACTGAGGCTCGGAAGGATGACAAGAGGCCGTTATCTCCTAGGCCAGTCCGCGACCGTGATTAGGGCAAGAAGGACGACGCTTCTGGACAGAGCATCCAGGTCCACCACCCTAGAACCCCGATCCCCCTTTGCACCCTGGCAGAGAAGCCCCCCTCGCCCCCCAGTCTAGCTATCTCCTCCTGACACCCTCAGAAGCCCTGAGAGGTCCGAAGCCTCAGCCCCAGGCTGCTCGCAGGTTTAAGGCAGGCCCAGGGGTATGGCCCCCTCCATCTGACTCCCATCTCCCGGGGCCCCAGGGCTCCTGCCCAGCAGGTGGAAGCCAAGCGGCAGCACAGTGATGCGGACACCCCCACCCGCCTGCTCCCTATCCCCCTGAATCTGGATGACCACTGCCCCCCCCAGCTGCCCCCCTGCTGGAGACTCCGTCTCCATCTCCCCAGCTTGCTGTGTGTCCTGGGTCAGGCTGCGTGCCTCTCTGGGCCCCCACCTGCCAGAGGGCCTAGGCACCCCACCCCCCCCAACCCTGCGCCCGCCTGAGTCCAGTGGTTCTCAGCGGCCGCGGAGGTGGGCAGCGCACATGCGTGCTCGCTCCTACATCGGCAGCCCCTCCTGCCCCCTCGCTGGCTGGGCCTCTGCGGGCCAGTCTCCAAACCCCGCTGGGCTCCATCTTAGCCCGTGACAGGAGGGTGGGGGACCCCCCCCATCCTGCCAGCATCATCACCGACCCCCTCGCCCCAGCAAGCCCAAGGAGGAAGACAATGGCCTGGGAAAGACGCAGCCGAGGGCGGGCTGGGGGACTCTGGACCAGCGTCCCCAAGAGCAGGGCCACCCTTGAGCAGAATGACCTTGACCTCCAGGGCCCCTGCCCCCCTCCACCGCCCATCCCCCCCCTCAGGGGAGGCCCCGGAATAGCAGTGGGGAAGGGTCCACTCTGGGGTCTGGGGGAGCCAGGGCTCAGGGGGCTGCGGGTTCTGCGGGCTCAGGTTACACATTAGCTCAGGCTCAGAAGCCAGACCAGAGCGGGGACAGGACCCCCTCCCCATCGCGGTGACACTCCAGGGGCCGCTTCCCGCCCCCACATCTGTGTGGCCCCCACGGCCTCTTGGCTCAGCGCGGGGATGGGGTGCGTAGCCCCCCTCCCCTGTCCACCCATCATCGGCCACCTCCGGAGGGAGGGGTGGCCTCGCCCAACGCCCACTGGCACCTCCACCTCCCTCTCTCCCGGAGGCTGCCACGACGACCCTCGACCCCTCGGCCGGCCCTACCCAGGTAGGGGACTGTCCCCCCCACCCCCACCCCCCACCCAGCTCACACCCTCTGCACCCCACTCACCGTCCAGCAGCACAGTCAGATGGCAGAGGGCGGCCAGGCGCAGCAGCCAGGGGAGAGGTGAGGGGGCCATGGCAGGCGAGGGGGCCAGGGGCGTCCAGGCGGGGGACCGGGCAGCCCGCAGCCAGCCGCGTCCTGGCTCCGTGCGCGCTGTCCCCTCACGCGGCCGCCGCCACCGCGCGCGGAGGTTTTTATAATGGAGCTTGGCAGCCGCCTGCCCCCGCCTCCTGCTCCCCGCAGGCGGAGGGAGGGAGGAGGGAGCCCGCGGCCGGATTCCTCGGGATGTTGCCAAGGAACCGGCTGGCGCGGAGCGGAGCGAGGGCGCCTGGTGGGGGGCGCTGGGCTCGCGCCCCTCCGCTGGTGGACAGCGCCCAGGGTCCGCCCCGCCCTGCTGCCCGGCCCGCCGCCGGCACCCCGGAACTGGCCCTGGACGCTGGCACACCGGAACTGGCCGGAGGCCCGGGCTCCCCAGTGGGCAGGAAAGGGAAGGACAGAGGGACAGAGGATGAGTTGGGGGGGGCTGGCCAAGTCTCCCTCGGTGAGTCCCTCACTGCAGAGCACCCTCCCTCCACCGTCTTGGCCCCCCTGGAGTGCCCCTGTCTAACCATGTCCCCCCTGCCCAGTGCCCGGGACTGGTTGAGCAAGAACAGCTAAAAGCAAATGTGGAATGGCTTGACCCAAGTTCCTGGAGACAGAGGGGAAACTGAGGCTCAGAGCAAGCTGCCTGCAGGTCATCAGAACATTCCAGAGCGGTCAGAGCAATAGGACGGCAGGTACAGCCTTTGCCTTGTACGCGATGGACCTGGGTTCAATTCCCGGCATTGCATAGGGTACCCTAAGCACCACTCAGGAGTAATTCCTGAGTGCAGAGCCAGGAGTGACCCCTGAGCATCGTCAGGTGATGGGACTCAAAAAGCCAAAAAAAAAAAAAAAAAAAGAGCAGAACCCGCCTCCCGTGGCAGGTCTGGATACAGGCGCCCCCAGCTTGCCTCCCGCTCCCCACCTTGCCTTCCCCTTGGCACCCACCACCTCTCAGCCCTGCCTGGGGTGGGGACTGTCCCCTCTCTCCTGAGGCTTGTTTCCCCACCTGCGGGGTGAGGGTGAGGAGGGAAGTTGGGCGAATCCTGGGGGCCGCATGGAACCTTCGCAGCACTCACTTCCGGTTCTTTCTCCATGAGGTGGTGGCTTAGGGCCAGGCCGGACCAGCCAGCAGCTCCCACCTGACTGGTGTACCCCAGAGAGGTGCGGGGTGTGCCCCCCACTTCATGGCTGCCCGTCACAGGAACCTGGCCCAGCCCGCAGTCAAGTGTGGGACTGTCCACTTTCATGCGGGCCTCTCTGGCTGCTGCCCAGAGGAAAACCAATTTGTCTGGGGGGCCACTGTCCCAGACTCCAGAGCCAGCTGGGCCAGGCCAGGGGCCTCTGGGGCGCACAGCCAGCAGCTGGTGTGCCTTAAGAGGGAGGCGCACCCTGGGACCAAAGTCCACGCAGACTCACTGCCCTCCTGAGCCGCTGAGAAACAAAATCTTCACATTTTTTCAGAGCACCTCCATGCCTTATAGTTGGGATTCTGAGGCCCCGGAAAAGACAGTGGTGATTAAAAAAAAAAATTAAAAAAAGGAAGTGCTAGGCTGTCTGCTTTGCCCAAGTGGGGGCAGAGGAGGAAGAGGTAGGGAAGGGAAGGGGAAGTATGGGGACAGGCAGGAGAGGGGAGGAAATGGGGGGCTTCCTGGGGCTAGCGCCTCCACCCTCCCGTCTCTCCTTACGTCATTGAAGGACCAGGAGCAGCCTGGACTAAGTATCTTGGGGAGACGCTCCCTCCCTCGCCTGACCTGGACTTTCGCACAGGTTTAACACTGATAAGAAAACCACCTGGGCCTGGAGCAATAGCACAGCGGGTAGAGCATTTGCCTTGCACACGGCCGACCCGGGTTCGATTCCCAGCATCCCATATGGTCCCCTGAGCACTGCCAGGAGTAACTCCTGAGTGCAGAGCCAGGAGTAACCCCTGTGCATCGCCAGGTGTGACCCAAAAAGAAAAAAGAAAGAAAGAAAAGAAAGAAAGAAAGAAAGAAAGAAAGAAAGAAAGAAAGAAACCTGCCAGCCCTGAGCACCTGAATCTAGTCTCCCGCGTCTGCTTAAGGTGACAGTTTTCCAGAACCCAAAAGTGGGGGAAGCAGCAACTTGCAAGGGCCTGGGGCCTGCCTGGAGCCGGCAGCTTCTCCCACCTATGCCCACCTGAACAAAAGGCATTATGGAAGGGGAAGGTTAAGGCCATATTCAAGAAGGTTCTGGGGCGATAGTACAGCACTTGCCTTGCACACAGACAACCTGGGTTTGATCCCTAGCACTCCATAGAGTCCCCCAAGCATTGCCAGGAGTGATCCCTGAGTGCAGATCTCAGGAGTAACCTCTGAGCACTGCCGGGTGTGGTCCCAAAGCCAAAACAAAAAATCAATTAAAAATACGGTTCTGGAAGGAGGGAGAAGATTCTCAACAGAGGGAGTAATGAGTGCTCCCGAGTCTGTCTGACCAGCTGCCTCTGAGTCTTAGCCACCAGGCTATCTCCTCCCAACCCCCTCTGGCAGAACTGCTGTGAGGGTTCAGTGAGGTTTTGATGCCTTTGGGAACCCAACTCTGCTTTTTCTTTTTTTCTTTTTTGTTTTCTGGCTTTTTGGGTCACACCTGGCTCTGCACTCAGGAATGACTCCGTGCGGTGTTCAGGGGACCATATGGGATGCCGGGGATCGAACCCGGGTTAGCTGCGTGCTCTGGCCCCAAATTCAGCTTTTTCTCCCATAAAACTGGAATGGGGGTCAGGAATGTGGCTCAGAACACATGCTTTTCGTGTGGGTGGCCTGGCGTCAGTGCCTACACACACACACACACACACACACACACACACACAGAGACACTCACACATACACATACACACACGTGCGTGGAATTCCCCGCACTCCACCCACCTCATTTCACCAGCGTATCGAGGACAAACTCCCGCTTTGTGCTCAGGGATCACTCCTGGTGATGCTCGGAGGCCCATCTGCAGTGCCGGGTGTTGAACCCGGGCTGGCATGTGCAAGGTAAGTGCCTGAGTTTAGATCCAATTCAGACACGGTCACTGGCTTTTGTGTCAACCGAATATGACCAATACACACGAGTCCTTAGGAGGGTGTCCCCTGGGAGAAGGCATGTGTGCATCCTGGCCCTCCTCTTTCCCATCAGTAAAGTGAGGTGCTCATGTCAACCTCGGAATTGCTCGTTGGGGGACCCTGGCAGAGCGTGGTGAAGCTGCTTGGTTTGTCTTCTGAGCCCTCGCATACCCCAGGCATGGTGGTGACACAGGGACCCCAGAGGTAAATAAGCCGAAATCATGGTCCCCAGAAGCCCCAGGTCAGGAGCAGAAAACACACACATCCCAGCCAAGCCTGAGGCTCCGGGCCTGACTGGGGACAAGCCCTGCCTGGTTCCTGTCCAAGGTCAAGGAAGGCAGGAGTGACAGTGGACACTTCAGACAACAAATGGGCGAGTTCTGCTTGGTTCCCTTCACATTGCTTTCTGGAAAACTCTCAAACAATGAAGAAAGAATAGTATAAAGAACTTTCGTCTCTCTGCCACTCAGAGTCAATATTTGACAATTTTTCGCTACTTGCTTCTTGCTTTCTCTGTCAAAATCTTCTCAAAGCCTGATGCTCTGCCCTAAATATGTGAACGTTTGCTCACGGTATAGACAGAATGGACAAGAAAGCCCCTGTTATTTAATACCCAGCTTGTACTTTAATTTCATTTGTCCCCCAAATATATACTTTTCCCTCCCTCTTTTTTTCCTTCTCTCCCTCCTTTCTTTCTTCTTCTTTTCTTCCTTCCTTTCTTTGGTGTTTGGACCAGGATCCAGCCTAAGCTCACACATTGTCCGTGGTCATTTCTTTCTCGTGCACATTTCCCCTGACAGAGTCCAACTGATTGTTCTATTCTGTTTTGGGTGGTCCCAGGGATCGAACCCGGGACCTTATGCATGCAAGGCATGAGCTCCACCATTAACCTCCATTCCTAGCTCAAACTGTTGTTTTTCTTTCTCTCTTTTGTGGGAGGAAGTTTAACCCACACCCAGAAATGCTCAGGTTTTACTCCTGGCTCTGTGCTCAGGGATCACTCCAGGTTGTGCTCCCGGGACCGGGGATTGACCCTGGGTCAGCTGCCTGCAAGGCAACTGCTTTACTTGCTGCACTATCTCCCTCGCTCCTAAACGGTTGTCTTTCTAATGTGTCAGATTATTTCCTTGGAGTGTCATCTTTTTTGTTCCCATATACTATGCATTGCTTCTAAAGTGGAAGTAGACTATAGACCAAACACGACTGCCACTCAATGCCTCTTTTGCAAACCACAACACCCAAAAGGAGAGAGAGAACAAAAGGGAATGCCCTGCCACAGAGGTGGGGTGGGATGGGGGGATGGGGGGTGGGAGGGATATTGGGACCCGTGGTGGTGGAAAATGGGCACTGGTGGAGGGATGGGTACTTAATCATTGTATAACTGAAACCCAAGCACAAAAATTTGTAGGTCTACAATCGTACCACATGATGTTTCACTAACAAAAATTAAAAAAAAAATAAAGTGGAAGTTAGATCTGAGCTCTTTCTTCTTGGCAAGAATCCCTGGTGAGTAACGCCTGTACCTTGTAACCCTGCTCTCAGAGGGTAGCAGGTTGTTCCTCCTTCTCCACCTTGAACCACCAGCTGCTCTCTCCACTGCGCAAGCGTTATTCCCCTTGTTATTTCCAAGTGTCCTGCAAGCTTTTGACTGGCCAGATGAGGCAGAGGTCAAAGTGCAGAACCCCTGCGGGGGTGGGGGCTGGGGTCCTGCACCCTTGGCTCCCAGGAGAGGTGGGGCTGGGGGGTTTTCCTCGGGAGGCAGCTGCTGAGTGTTTGCAGGTGGCGTGAGGCGTGAGGAGGATCCTGCCCAGGGCACAAGGGGCTGGAGGAACAGCTAGAGCAGCAGTGGGAAAGCGGAGCATGGTTTAGAGACGGGCCGGCAAATAGAGCATTTGTCTTGCACACGACCGACCCAGGTTCAGTCCTTGGCAGCCCATATGGTCC